ATATAAAAGCTCTATTTCTCTTTTACTAAAATTCTAAGCTTTAGCTAGTTCAAGAGAAGCATGAATAATTTTAGCTCCATTTATTTTTTTTGATATAGCTACTTTCTTGTATACTGGTAAAAGAATAAGTGCAATAAAAAAAATATTGCTATCAAATTCTCTTGCACGCTTGTTGATAACTGAAAGTGTATGAGCTTTAAGACCATTAATTGGAATTTCAAGGTGTGATATTTGTCAGTGAATATAGATAAGCTCTTTAAAAATATCAGCTAATGTTGAATCATTTGATTCTAGTTTTCCGATAGTATCAACAACTGGCCTGATAACTTTTGTTAATACTTCATTGTCTGCAAAATGGTATCTGTTGCAGATGATATTTTTAACAGTAACATTCTCGATCTCAGGATATTTGGGACACTCAGTTTCACTCAACGTGAGACAACGTCGAAAGCCTTCTTCATAGGCTGATACTCCTATACAAACCTTAGCAAGTGAATACTATCTGGTTTCGAGAATATACTTAAAAAATGCTGAATGCCTTGTTCTTTTTGCTAGGTTTGCAACTCTCGATACCAAATATGGGATGCATTAAAAAAGTTAACAAGCTTTTGATTTTTTTTGCAAATTGCAATAGTATTTGAAAAACTAATAATGTCTTTAATAATTAAATTAAAAACATATAAGCAACAACGAATAGAGACTATATTAGAATATTCTTCATGAAGCAATCACCTCATTTTGTCTATATTCGAAGAGTTATCAGTAACGCAAGCAATTGCAGATAACATTTGAATACCATTCGTGGTTAAGACTTCTTTTACTTTAGTTTTAATAAAGCCTCCAGTATAACGATTCGCAGATAAATCAAGAATATCAAATACGATTTCTTGACTTTTTTTAAGAGCTATAAATCTAAATATCGAATTTCTCAAATTATCAGTCTATCTGTCGAGAAAGATAGTAAAATCAACAAAAGTTGAAAGGGTATTAAGTTTTTTCTGAACATGATTAGAGAACATTTTAGTTAAAAAACGTCCTTTAATCATATCATGGGAAGGAAGATAATAAGAAAGATTTAATTCTTGAAGAAACTCATGCAAATATAGATTTTCAACAAAACGAAAAGGAAGGCATCTATAAATAACAGCCTTTAGAAATTTTTGATGAAGATTTTCTAATTGAGCTTGAGACAGAGGCTGAGCACACTAACTAAGTATAGTTCCTTGATGGGGGTTAAATGTAGATAATTGTTGGTAGTCATTATTATTTTTCTGAGCAGTTTGTATAATAGATAGGTTATTATTACAGATACGTTTACGTGATGATTGGGTTTCTTCACTAATTTTTGAATATATACTGTTTTTTCAGAAGGAGGCTAATTGTTATATCGAAGAATATGTTGATAAAGTCTATCAGGTTTGCTACCTATTTCAACCAAATAGTACTTGCATTTTGCTGTATACCTATTTCCCAATTTTTTCATTTCAGAACAATAAAAACCATCTCACCGATTGCCTTGTATTGGGAGTGGTGAAGCAAAACTAGTAGGAATATTCATAATGTAATAATATAATTTTTTCTTTAAAAATTAAAGGTCTTAATTCGAATTTAATCTTAGATAATTTAATTATGATGACTATATTTTTAGAATTATTTATAAGCGATGTATTCAATATGATTTATAATAAAAACTTTTTTAATACGAGAAAAAGATCTTATTTTATTTAGAAGACAAATTGAATTATAAAGTTTATTCAAAGCTAAAAAGTACGGTTTAAATACATTTTACAACTTCACTTGTGCTCTTCAAATCTTAATCATATGATTATATTTTGCACTTCAAATTTTAATCATACGATTATTTTCGCTCTTCAAATCGATTATTTTCACACTTCAAATATCAATTATACAATTATGTTTCGCACAGACACTTGGCTTTGGCTGCATAATCTCTATTTTCACAACTATTTCCAATACCTTATGCATCTTTTCTTTCTAATTTTAATTATGCATTATGTTTTTCATATTAACCTACTTGGCTTTGGCCGTATAATTCTCTTTCTTCACAAATCTATTGATGCACTTTTTAACTTGTAATTTTATTACTTATACTAATTCAGTTTATTTTTGTCCATAATTCCTTTTTTTCATATCGCATCAGCTTAGACTGCACAATCTATGTTAGAAATTAATTTAAATGTATGATTAACTTAGAAAGGTCTAGAATGATTTCTAATTTTAGGATAGTCATATTGCGTCTATTCTTTTTAATTGCAGCTACATATGAATTAAGTAACAACTATATTTGGAATAATAAACATACAAAATAATTAGATAACTAATGTTAAGCTTATATCTGGCAAGGATTTTAATTGCAGTCTGAATATCTGGTAGTTTAATTTTATTATAATAAATTATTCAGATTTCAAATAGGAAAATGAATAACAAATCGTACAAAAAATGTCAACATTTTGTTCTAATTATTAGGTATTATACTTTGGAATCAATTTAAATTTAGACAATTATGTTTTATTTTCTTTTGCTGGAAATGTATATTTTGCCCTAATATTGTAATCCAGAGATACGGAGGATCGATAGGGTTGTGAAGTAGAATTTGAACCTATGATCTTCGGGTTATGAGCTCGAAGAGCAGTTTCCTTCATATCGCGAATTAAGGTATTAGCTCTGATGGCAATGATTTGCTTAAACATCTGTTGCAAGGTGCTGGCTACTGTTGTCACAGGACAGTTGTGAATATGAATTTAGACATTTTTGAACATTCATGAACAAATAAATAAATTATAATTACTCAAAATTAAGTTAACCTATTTTAATTTTTGAGTAAAAATATTTAGCACTATAAAAAACATAAAATCATATATTTTTTAAATTAATATATTAATTTTGAATATACTGTAGATATTTTTGGACATGTAGACATTTGGACATTGGACATGATCCAAAAAAGTCTTGGACATAGTAGACATGACAACACTGATTGTAATCTGTCAAAAGAAAAAATGTTATCTAGAAGAATGTTAGAAAGTATACGAACCTTTGATATACATACAAATTAGAAACCTGGAAATATTTCAATCCAGTAAATAAAATATAAATTTTTACGAGTCCCTGCTAAATTCTTTATTTTCAAGTTTTATTATAATATTAAAACTTATGATTTATAAACTGTAGTTGTCAAAAAAGGTATAAAGGAAACTGCATCAATAGCAAGTTCATCTTTCTTCCCAAATACAGTAACATTTAATAGGTTGAATTGGTACTACTTGGTCATGATACGATAGTGTGTTAAACTATTACAGTGGGTTTTTGGAATTTGACCTTATTTAAATATCCCTGAATTATTAAACTTTTTGCATTACTCATTTTAAATACTGATATTCATAAAATCTGATCTTGTATTTAAAGCCTAAATTTAGGAGGTTTAAAAAAATCAAATTCCAAAAATCTGCTGTAATGCTGTTATTTCTAATATTATTCCTTATAACAATTTGTTCAGGTATATGTAAGTTATATTCTGAGCAGTTGGATATAAGCAGAAATGAAATTTCTGCTTATACACAGAGTACCTAGGGTATAACTAATTTATACCCTATGATCTTGATATAGTGACTAAGATATAATGTTAATTATAATTAATACAGAGTAATTCTTAGAGATTGTACCTGAGTAGATATTTTTTATTAAATAGCTAGAATAAATTACCTGAATAACTAGATAACTTAATAATGCCAGAGTAGAAAGTTTCATGGCAAGTATACTTTTAGTAGTAGTAGTTCTTATTTTTTAATAGTTAAAAGTCAGTTATTATCATTATATTTTAAATTTAACTTGAATTAGTTAAACTGGGTTTAATTTTTACTTTGCTTAGCTAATAATTACTAATCAGAATTAGGCTTATCTTCGATATACTATATGGGGGATGTCTAAAGCAGAGGCAACTCATATTTAATAATTTTTTTGATTAAATTTAGGGTTAGAGTCGCCTATATTAGAGTTATGTTAGGCTTTAGGTAGTTATATATAAGCAAAATTGCCTTTACGACATTTTTACTTAACCTACCTGAGATAGATTTAGATGGCTATTCTTTGTATTTTTTAGGTTTGCTTCGCTGATGATTATCAAAATTATATAATTTGATTAGCTGTTTATCATATGATCTGCTCTGCTTTAGATGATCTCTATATTAGGGCATAAAAAAATTTTTAGGCATGCCCCTATAGGCATGCCCCTATAGGAGGCATGCCTTTTAACATAAAGGCATGCTCACAAACCTGGTGCTCCCCACTCTAGATATCGCAACCTGCGATATTTAACAAAATCCAAAAAATATTATATTTA